CCCCCACCCAAAAAAAAAATCTTAAATGCGACCCCCCCGGGAGAAAATGTCTGAAAGAAACACTGATTAGAGAATGTCGATGTATGTACACATAGAGAATAACTTTCTACATCAAGAGCAAAGGGAGATTCCTATATGACCTAACGAGTTGAATATATTACACACATCACGATTATAATCAATTTACTTTCATAGCTTACCTATAATCTATTTATTAAACAAAGCTTCGAAAATCGAGAGATGGCACCGATTATATTTGATCGAGGGCGCCGAATATAACTGTTCTGCTCTAAGGCGCTGAATATGCACTGTTCTGCTATAGAACGCTGAATATGCACTGTTCTGCTCTAAGGCGCTGAATATGCACTGTTCTGCTATAGAACGCTGAATATGCACTGTTCTGCTATAGAACGCTGAATATGCACTGTTCTGCATAATTCAAATTTCGATTCCAAACGCTGGGGAGCGGCAGATCCTCAGCGACAGGTCTAGAAACGTACATTGCCGCCTTCGCCAAACGAACCAAAGTCCCTGAAAGAGAGTTCGACCAATCAGCTCTACGTTGACAAACCTACCGCCGACGACTCCATCAAATCGAAATCTTAGTCACGAGAAACTGGCGCCGGGACAAAGATGACATTACTCAATGTACCTACAGAGTGGCTGACATTGTCGCCAGCGACTTTTGCCCCAAGTTATGGTGCACCAACATAGTATTTATGTGGTATAACGGAAACAAGTTTGGCAATAAACATATTTTTTCCTTGGTGCACACATGCAATGCTTTTTTCGTGTTTTTTAAGATTTCTGATGGCGCCCTAAGCAAGTTGCGCCCCGGACTACTGCCTGAGGTGCCGGCACCTTAAGCTGGCCTCACTAATAGTATTGTCAATCCATATTGCATTAATAAGCGTACATATCTTCTTCTTCTATATCTTAAGGGCCCACGATCAATTTATTGATCATTTTGGCTCCTATGCATGTAGATGGGATTTGCAATGTTTCTGTTACTGGTGTTGATGAGGAAATCATGCACAAGGGGTTTGAAGGCTGGAGGCAATAGACACAAATGTGTCTAGTGTTGTCGCCTCAACCGTTCCTTTTGAAAGATTGTTCCAGTCCCTAATTGTCTTGGGCAGGAATGAGCAGCTCCTATACTGGCTTCTTGCTGGTATGAGCCTGAATTGCCTGTCATGGCCTCGTCGCTGTCTATGGGGGAGAGGGACGAGTTTCTGTTTAATACTGGAACAGTGGACCAGCCCATTATTTATCTTGTACATCATGGAGAGCCTGGATTGTCGTCGTCGTTTCTCCAATGGTGACCAGCCTAGTGTTTCTAGCATGCTGCCAACACTAGAGGTATTCCTGTAGCGGTTTAGGACAAAGCGTGCTGCTCGTCGCTGGACCGCCTCCAACCTGTCAATGCTCTTCTGGGTAAATGGGTCCCAGACTGAAGATGCATAATCTAAAATCGGACGGATAAAGGCTTTATATGCTCTTTCTTTCACACAGGAGTTGCCAATCTTTAGATTTCGCCTTAACAACCCTAGGGTCTTGTTTGCTTGGTTACATACATTGTTAATATGCTCGTCCCAGCGGACCTCTCTTTGAATGGTAACACCCAGGTACTTTACTGAGGAAACTTATATATTTTATCCCTTGCCACTATTAGTTATGTTTAAATATTACGTCAAAGGTCTTCAGACCGTCGTATATATTCTCACTAACAAATCAACAATCAAGAAGCATTAACTTCTTCTTTAAAGTATATCAGTTTTAACATAAAAATGTAATTCCTTAAATAATTTTACGGCGCAACACATTGAAATTCCATAAATCTACCTAGCCTCTCAGCGTTCAATGATTAATCCATTGGCATCCCGAGCTTGCATCTCCCACTTTGAGAACCGCTGATCTATACCATATAAGTCCACCATTAATGTCTGTACAAAATAAATATCTGTGCAAAATGAATTTCTGTACAATTTTTCTTTTTTATCAGAATTTGAACGCGTGATCAACACGAATGTCTGCACAATATGAATGCATATACAAAATGAATTTCTGTACAATATGAATGTGTGTACAATATATGCCTGCATAATATAAATGTATGTACTCTGTACAATATATATGTCTGCACAATATCAATGTCTGTACAAGATTAATGTTTGTAACCAAACGCTGAATCACAGCATGTATCGGGACAATGTAAACAAATTATGTAGAAAGAAATCTGTTATTCAATTTATTATAAGGAACCAGCTGGCATCTCTCATCATCATTCTAATACTCAAAGTTTAATTATGTGATATTGATCAATCTTATTGTGCTCTCTCTTGAGATGGCCGCGTTCACGTACACACATGGTTCTCACAATGTTATTAAAGTAACCACGAACTTATAAGTTAATTTAAATGAAGAAGAATTTTTTTTTTGCAGTAAAACTTTAAACAAAATTAATTTTAAACTCCTTTCACTTCTGATTACTGGGGAATCTCATGGTAATTATAGTTTACATTTCTGGTGATTTCTTTCTTGGGACATCTCGTAGTAATAGAGTCAACATACCTTGTGACTACTGGGTACATCTTATGAGTGATATATTATGCATATCTTGTGACTACTGGGGAAATCTCATTAGTAATATAGTCTTCATAAGTTGTGACTACTGGGTACATCTCATGAGTGATATAGTCTGCATATCTTGTACTACTGGGGACATCTCATTAGTAATATAGTCTACATAACTTGTGACTACTTGGGACATCTCATAATAATATAGTCTAGAGACCTTGTGACTACTGGGTATATCTCATGAGTAATATAGTCTACATACCTTGTGACTACTGGGTATATCTCATGAGTAATATAGTCTACATACCTTGTCACTCGTGAATACATGGGACATCTCTTAGTAGCATATTCTACATAGCTTCTCAAATAATAAAAATTCTTGTAATGACAATGGATATATGTCACATCAACCCAATTAATAGGTTATACCTTAATTAAATGAATACTTAAAATCTTCTTTCCATAAATACATGACATCTTAATCCAATAGGTAAACAACACCTCCACCAATCGATAGATGACACATCCACCAATCGATAGATGACACATCCACCAATCGATAGATGACACCTCCACCAGTCGATAGATGACACCTCCACCAGTCGATAGATGACACCTCCACCAATCAATAGATGACACCTTCCCAAATGGATACAAGACACTTTAATTCACTGAATACAAAACATAATCATCAAGCCAATAAATGAAACCTCCACTCAATGGATAAATGACACATTCAACCGATGGATACATGATCTCTTTCGGTTTTGAATAATACCTTCAACTGGATGAGTGGAGCTTTAACGGCTATAACGATGGGATGTGGGAAATATCCTTTCATGGGGTACATAACAGTTTACCAAGGGGCACCATCATCCACTGTATACCGGACATCTTTACTACTGGATCAATGACAGCTCTATCATATGATTGCATGATACCCTCATGGCATTAGTGATCCTACCTGTATTATTGTCGAAATACATCAGCGAGCGTGAGGCGTGAAATTAAATGATTCCCAATTGTTGATTACCGTATGGGATACTTTTATGTTGAAAAATTACTTTATTATAGGGATTTTCATTTCTCTTTGCTTTGACTTATATTCTAGACTTACATTTTCAAACATTGCCATTTCTTATTACTCAAGCTAATTAAATTCTTAGACTTCATTATATATTTTCTTGGTGACGTGACCATATCAGTCTTATAAACTACTTCCTGTCCAGTTACTTTTTACGTGACCATGTTAGCTTTATAAGCTATTTCCTGTCAAGTTATTAGTAATCTGTCCATGTTAGTCTTATAAAATCTTGACAATTTTATTGCAAGCTAAGCTCTTTTGGTTAGATTGCTTTTTTTTAATGGTGTCTTTAATGTGCTGTGTTCTCAAAAACGTTCATTTTTGTTGTTGTGTTGTTATTCAAGCCGTCACATATCGTATTCTAAATATTTGATTTAATAACTTAAAGTCAGCTCATTTTCTACAATCCTTCAAACGATGTAACAGCAGCTGCTCATTGATCTAAAAGTGAATCACTTTGCTACGAGTTAGACCGCTTATAAGGGAAACAATCTCTATTAACAAATGACATGCTGATAACTTTCGATTTTAAACCTAAATTCTCTCCCATTCGTATACTTAAATGTTTTATAATCTTAGGCATTAATAATTTAACCTCTGATCTCTATGTCTAAGACTTATGTGTTTCTTTAAGATGCACAATTCATATATTCTATAATGTCAATTGATTTCACCGTGATCATTTTGTAAAGGTTAATTCACTGCAGATGCTAAAAAGAAAAATGATTTGTCCATAATAATAATTAAATGGAAATGCATAGTTTTTCTCTTTAAAGATACTATGCTTATTTATTATGCCATTTACACACTTTAAAATTATATTTTCCTAGAAATATTTAAAAAAAAGTTTTTTGTTATGTTACATGCATATTCTCTAAACATTATAGTTGGGGTTCCATGAAACGTTCACATATTTCAGCATATTGATCAGGCAACACCTTGTAGATATTTGTATCCATTATTACTGAGTAAGAAACATTTTTAGATTTAATTCGGTTTTAAACCACAGGTCAATTAGACAAAGTTCGCTAATATCAGGATTTCCAAAGCGCAGAAATTGGCGCTTGAAAAAAGTATAAATTTAACTTTGACTAACTTCCAGCACTAAATCCGATTTGATTGCTTGACAATGCCTCGTCTCTTTCTCATCATCGGCTTCGCTCTGGCTATTCTGGCTGCAGCCAACGGAGCATTGTTTCGAGGACTTGGTGAGTAAAAGATAGGTTCAAATTATTTCTCATCTTTCTTAAATATCTTTATTGACAGTCAATATAGTACATACATTTCGTCTGTATAACATATTACGGAATTTTTGTGGAATGGAAACACAAAGTTTTAATAGAGACTTCAACATATTATCATAAATATAATGCAATGAACATTAAAAAAATAATACTAAAAAGAGTGTAAATATAGCATAATGAACATAAAGTCAAAACATAAATTTGTAAAAATAATGTACCAAACAGAAAGTCGTAAAGATACTGTCGTAGTTCGTGTCTCAGTTTTTTTCGTTGTTTCATATGACGTCACGGATTCCTCGCATTTATAAGCTAAAATAAAATGATGTCACGACAAGTTGTCGTTTACATGGGCTCCTTGTTTCCATGGCAACAACGAAAGCTGCTGAGATGATGAGGGACCTATGGATAACATTGGTTTCTTGGCTAACAAATTGTTTTGTTGACTTCTAGTCCCCGTTAGTTTTCTAAACACGAAATGTCGAACTTGATTTGGTCATTAGATAAAATATTTTGAAACAAATGTGTACATTATGTATATACAAATCCAATTTTAGTAAACAATTTGTAAAATAAAAGTAAATATAATACAGCATGTGACAAACTTAACAGAGCTGTAATTCGGGCATCTTGCTGAACAAACGCGCCTTTCATCAATTGGGCTTAGATCCACCCACCACGTGTTCCCAGTAGTGAAATGGAAGATATGTTGTGAAGCTGTTGTGGGAAATGGATCTCACGTCAGATCTCACTTGTATTCAAAGTTGAGTATCATTTCTGCCTACACCAGCGGTTCTCAGCCTGTGGGTCGCGACTCCTTTGGTGGTCGCACGACCCTTTCCAAGGGGCCTCCTAGGACCACCTGAAAACCCATGCGCTCTACCGCTATGAAGTATCAATGGCTGGAGGTCACCACAACATGAGGAACTGTATTAAAGGGTCGCGGCATTAGGAAGGTTGAGAACCACTGGGCTTACACGGAAGCGATGGTGGGAAAAAAAGGTGGGGCATGAGTTTAGAAAAGTCCGGAGAACAATGCCGAGAGGAGATTTAATAAGATGGCTCCGAATTGCTAAGTTACGAAACTTCGCCGTTCTTTAAGTGTACTGTGTCAACCGAGGGAGAAGTTTGGTTGAACAGTAAGTGTTTCACTAAATGAGAATGACCCACATGTTCTTCAGGAGCGTTGAATCAGTCCCGACGCATTGCACGAGTAACGGTTTGGGGGATTGCAATGTTCTTAACGTCACTCGATAACGCTGTAGCGGCAGGGTTTTCGGGCCGTTTATTCAGTTTTAATGGGGTTCTGTCGTGTGAAGGCATTCCCGTAAATAGACAGTGGTATCAACAGTGGTATCAACAGTGGTATCAACAGTGGTATCAACAGAGGCATCAACAGTGGCGTCAACAGTGGCATCAACAGTGGCGTCAACAGTGGCATCAACAGTGGTATCAACAGTGGTATCAACAGTGGTATCAACAGTGGTATCAACAGTGGTATCAACAGTGGTATCAACAAGGGCTTAAACAGTGGTTTAAAAAGTGGTGTAATCAGTGGTATCAACAGTGGTATCAACAGTGGTATCAACAGCGGTATCAACAGTGGTATCAACAGTGGTATCAACAGTGGTATCAACAAGGGCTTGAACAGTGGTTTAAACAGTGGTGTGTAATCAGTGGTAAAAACAGATCAGCAGATTGAGGCGACCAGCCGTACCGCTTGATGATCTCTAGCTAGGCTGCTGCAAAACTTTCCAGGAGGAATCATATCACATGACAGTGACTTTGCTTACTCCTCCAATTTTCCGGATCTTACGCCTAATGTGGGGAAGGTTTAAGGAGACCTGGATAATTCCCCCAAAGAATTGAGCCTGCAATGAACAAGAAAATGGCCGCCTTGTGCAGGAGTCTGACATCATCTTCGTCCGAGTTAAGTTTGAGAATCTGCTTGATGGATAGGATAACTGCCTAAGGCGGTGCACACTTTGAACCAATTACCTAAAGTTTTTTTTTTACCCTCCCCCCCCCCCCCAAAAAAAAAAAAAAAAAAAAAAAAAAAAAAAAAAAAAACAAAAAAAAACGAAATAGTGAAAGTGCTTAAATAGGATCTCCATAATAATGGCAAGATGAATAAGTTTTCGTTTTATTAAATAGTTGGGTGTCGGTGTCATCTGTTTAGTTTTTCAACTGAAACAAATTGTTTCAAAAATTAAATTTCATCACTGACCAGCACCCACCCACACCACCATTCATTTTTTTTTAAAAATATGTTTGTTCGGTATGTCACAGACTAAATCATATGTCGCTCTATAATCTTTTAACTGTTAGGAAACACTGCAGTAGGTCTACCTTGGTAAATCGACGAACAACGAAATTTTTATGTTATTGCTTTCATGAGAAATACATTCACAGATGACAGCCAGGGAATAGTGTTCCCCCTTTCGTGTCATTAATGTATTTTCGGCACATACCGTGTATGTTAAAAGAAATATATTGATACCACGTTTAAAGCAAATGTTTTCAAAACAACTCATGACACAAATGTTTGTGTCACGGCCAAGTCACAGCAAATAAATCTTTTCACTAAATGTGTCTTTAAACAAATTTTGGGTTTTGCTCTATTGTTTTAAAATTATTTGTGCAGCTCCGTGTCCTGACAATAACGTGGCTGGAGGCACGTGGTATCCGGAAGGTTGCATGAAATGTAAATGTTACGCAAAAAGCTATGTGTGTGAAAGGTAATGGATATACAAATTAAGATTAATAAATCTGTATTATATATACAATTTATAAGATAATAGATATATATATATATATAAGAGATATTTATAAATCCTTGTAAATAGAAGAGTCCATGTTCCTTCCTTTCAGCTGCGGCGCCTTTGCATTAGACTACAACAAAAGCCAGTGCTATGAAGAACCCAATGCTGGCGGTCCATACCCAGACTGCTGCCTGCCTACAGTTGTGTGTGTTGAGGATCCTGGCTTTGACTCCAGCAAACTAGCTAATCCACCCCTTGAGATTGATCCACCCGTCGTGGTGGAAGCAGCAAGATAAAAACCGAAGTGGTTAATGTATCTTGGCATCCTGCCTCCACCCCTCCCCCCACCCCCCCCCCCTCCAATACCAGAGAATCAGTACAACTCCGCCTTTCTTACAGTTACCGACTCACTCCTTAAACACGCCCAAATCGTAGCACCAAAAATAAAGCCAAATCCTTTCACACCTTTTTTTTTTAATTTTTTTTTTTTTTAAAAATCAATACAACAATCACATTCCTCTTTTACGATATTACTATTTTTTTAAAAATGACTTTGGAATAATAAAACTGTTCGTTTGCCATACTATCTGCACTATAATTTATTATTAATCCTTTTTTCCACTTGATAAAGCCATTTAAGCAGTAAATTAGTTTTGTCCTTTACTGCAACCAATTTTTCCAATTGATAATTGATTTACCAATTACTTGACTAACAAAATGCTCACAATTTTTAGACCGAGTTCTAAACAATAATAGTTGCAAAACCCGTTGAAGATATTCTTGTGAGGGGGGAAAATGAATTAAAGTTCATGACGTTATCTTATGAAAATTGTGTGTGTGTGTGTTTTTTAATTCAAATATTTTTTTTCAACTCATCTTCAAATAACTATTTTAACCAAAATCCTCAGAATTTCCGAAATTGAATTAAATGACGTTTCTTCCAAAGTGACAGTGCCAGCCATGTTGATTCTCTTTAGCGTGCGAAGATAGCCACGGCTTTATTCGACTGTGAGTGCGCCAGTGCCGTCTTAAAGGCATGCACACACTGTGCACTGTCCCAGGGCATGTCGCTTCTATGGGGCATCACACTTTTATGGGCATCACGCTTCTATGGGCATCACACTTCTATGGGCATCACACTTCTATGGGCATCACACTTCTATGGGCATCACACTTCTATGGGCATCATACTTCTATGGGCATCATACTTCTATGGGGCATCCCACTTCTATGGGCATCACACTTCTATGGGCATCACATTTCTATGGGCATCACACTTCTATGGGGCATAACACTTCTATGGGGCAACACACTTCTATGGGGCATCACGCTTCCATGGGGCATCACGCTTCTATGGGCATCACACTTCTGTGGGGCATCACACTTCTATGGGGCATCACATCACACTTCTATTGGCATCACACTTCTATGGGGCAGCACGCTTCTATGGGGCATCACACTTCTATGGGGCATCACACTTCTATGAGGCATCACACTTCTATGGGGCATCACATTTCTATGGGGCATCACGCTTCTAAGAGACTTACTCATCTAGGATGTTATAAGAAATTACTATTTCTAACACAAGGAAAACTAAGACCCCGGTTCAGCGTCGAGTCTAAATTTGTCAATGACTAGCTACATGCAAAACAAGATGGCCTCTCAAATCTCAAGTCAAGAAACACTGGCCAAATGCACTGACAAAAATGGAAGCAACTGTAACAATACAACAACAACGACATCACAACTTAGAAGACTTTTCTAGGAGGCTTACTCTTCTATGAGCCTTACACTTCTAGGAGACTCTCTCCTCTTAGGAACCTTACTCTTCTAGGAGACTCTCCTCTAGGAGCCTTACTCTTCTAGGAGACTCTCTCTCTCTTCTAGTGGCATCATGCTGCCCATATTGTTAATGAATATTGAAAGATTTGGACAACTTATTTGATTTAAATACCATTGACACCCCCCCCCCCCAAATTAGGAGCCTTACTCTTCTAGGAGACTCTCTCTCTCTTCTAGTGGCATCATGCTGCCCATATTGTTAATGAATATTGAAAAATTTGGACAACTTATTTGATTTAAATACCATTGACACCCCCCCCCCCAAATACACACACACACATAAGTATAGTTATAGAAGCGCTATAAACGAGTTCAGTAAGATGACAGCACGTTTCCCAATTCTAACCCACAATTTTATTCTCACATTCCCAAATTAATATTGGAAAGTCAAGTTAGTTTTAGGAAACAATATGGTAAAAGAATACCATTACTTTACTTCACATTCTGTGGAAATCGCACAAGATGAAACACACAAAGCTGTATCGAAAACAAGAGTGTGATTCACGACACAGGTCAAGGGCTATGGAATATTAAGAATACTTTTACATGTGGGCATCGGATTCGCAGTAGGCCAGCATCGTGTCAAAATCATGACTGCCACCCTTCAAACTCAGGCAGAGTGTGCCCTGGAGCTGGAGAAAAAAGAATAAAGACAAGTTATTTATCAAGGAATATATTCTTACAGGAAACTGCGGGATATTGAGTGTGTAAAACGTGAATGGCCACTGCGTTCACCATCCATGGGGTTATCTGCATTGCGTTGCACGCCGTTTATTTGCTACATCATAATCTTATTGTAGAACATGGAGATGGAGAGGAAAATTGCAAGAATAAGACGTCATATTTGCTTCGACGCAAAGAAACTGGCTGTTCAGATTCTTTATTAATCAAATATTTCTATAGGTCAGAACAGAAGTGCTGGCATAAAGTTCTGATACATGTGGTTGTTTTTCGTTTGCTTTCTTCCCACCAGAGCAGCCGTTCTCATCCTGTTGGTCGCGACCCCTATATTACACGAATATAGCACAAACGTGTCCAAAGATTATAGATGGATTAGACGCCGTACTGCTTTTCCTTGTTCTGTGCGTTCTTTGGGCGTGAGCGGTGATTTCGCTCTCTAAGGATTGTGCTCCATCAGTGAGTCTGCCTCACCTCCTTGTACAACCCATTTCAAGGGATTCCCATGAATTTAGGTCGATCTCCATGATTTGAGGGACACCAGCTGTTCACCGTACATTAAATATTTGGCAAAATACAAACGTCAATAATGTAAAACATCGCCATACACACATGCACTTCCAGGTAATTTGCAACGCATTAAGTGATAAGCAGGTCAGGCAAATACACAACACCAAGGCATGGCTTTATTTGTTTTGAATGAACTTTTCTATCTGAGGATCTCATTGGTCTCTGTCTGAGATGATTGACTTGTCCAACGATTGATATTGTCAACAATTGCATCTGTCATCTTGAATCAGGTGCTCAGGTTATTTGCCGCCCAATTTAAATGTGATGCAGGTGGTGCTCCAACTTACGTTAGACACAAAGAACTAATGGAGGTGGTGCTCCAACTTACGTTAGACACAAAGAACTAATGGAGGTGGTGCTCCAACTTACGTTAGACACAAAGAACTAATGGAGATGGTG